ACACACACACACACACACACACACACACACACACACACACACACACACACACACACACACACACACAACACCCCGCACCCACCCCCAGGTCGGCCTGAGTGTGTCGCGCGTGGGCAGTGCCGCGCAGTTCCCCGCGATGAAGCAGGTGGCGGGCACCCTGAAGCTGGAGCTGGCGCAGTACCGCGAGGTGGCGGCCTTCGCACAGTTCGGGTCCGACCTGGACGCAGCCACGCAGGTGCGGCGGTGTTTTCGCGGCGGCGGCGGGGTTGTCGCACGCGCACGCGTGCGCGCTTGCGCTGCGGGTCTTTTTGGCGGCGGAGCGTCTGCGGCCGCGCGGCGCGCCGGTTGGGAGTGGCGTCGCTGGTTGGGAGTTGCGCACGAGGGCTCGCAGATGCGAATGCCACGTGCTGATGGTTTGGTGCGGCACCTTGCAGCAGCACCATGGCTCCTGTGCTTGCCGCCCTGCCCCTACTCCCCAAAACCGCCCCTGATTCAACACCCCACTCCCTTCAACACAAACACACACACTCACACACGAACTCACACGCACCGCAGTACGTCCTGGAGCGCGGCGCGCGCCTGACTGAGGTGCTGAAGCAGCGCCAGTTCAACCCCATGCCCATTGAGGAGCAGGTGGTGGTGGTGTACGCCGCAACAAAGGGATACCTGGACAAGGTGGGGGTCACCCGGGGTCACTTGGGGTCACTCACAGGTTACTTTGGGTTACGTGGTGGGTATAGGGTGTTGCGCATGGGTTTCGCGTCAAAGGGTTGCAGAGCCCGGTCAGAGCCGGGCTCATGCCCCTTGCACCTCGCAAGCACGCGCGCCCCACAGACATGCACCAACGCCTCTCACCGACACACACACACACACACACACACACACACACACACACACACACACACACACACAGACGTGCACACGCGCCTCTCCCTTTCAAATACGCCAGGTGTCTACGTCTGACATCACCGCGGCCGAGGCCGCCATCCTGAAGCACGTGGACCCCGCCATCTACAAGGTGCTGCGCGCCAAGCAGAAGATCACCCCCGAGCTCACCGCCCACCTCCACGCGCAGCTGTCCTCGGTGCCGCTGCCCGGCCAGTGATCCGGCCGCTCGGCAGGACGCGTTGTTGATTGAAGCTTGAACGGGAAGCGGGATGGGGCAGGCCGCTTGGGGTCGCTGCACGCGACGGCGTCAGCGGCGGCGGATTTTGCTTGAAGACGGCTTATTGGCGCGGCGCGCGGCCGCGGTCGCACGGCTTCTTAGAGGCCTGCAGGCGCGGCCGTGCGTCACGCGGACGGCTTGATACTCATGGGGTTGAGGAGGCCGCGGCTGGGGGCGCCTGAGCGGTTCGCGGCGGGGCGCTCCCATTTTTGCGGGGCCTGAACGGCGGCCAGTCGCCCTGGGTCTGCAGTTTGCGGTGGTCGACGCACGGTTATCGGGCGGGGCGTTGCCTGCTGTGGGCCATCGATGCAGGGCCGCATGCGCGGGCCGCGGGCTGCATGCATCCACGCGTCAAGCGCCAGCGGCTGTCGCGCCGTGGCAGCCCGGCGCCGTGTAACACTGGTCTGGCGCGCAGGGAGAGTAAAACAACGAGTGCGCCGCGGTGCTCGGGAACGCGGCGCGCAGTGTGGGGTAATTTGTGCACGACGGCTTCAAGAGCTTGCTGCGCACCCAGCCCTGGATGGCTTGCAATCACGGCCTGCGGACGGCCGTTGATGCCACTCTCGCAGCTTTGGCCGCAGAGGCTGGTGTGGTGAGTCAGGTCGTGCAGCATCCTTCCCGCCGGGGCGGCGGGCGTCAATGCAGGGTCGGGCGGGGCCCAGCGGCTGCCTGATCACATTTATTGTGAGCCCATACGCTCCCACGAGGCTGCAACAGGTGTGGTTTGCAGCGACCGGGGCCGGGCGTGAGCCGTCGCGCTGGGGATAGGTTGGTGCCAACCAGTGACCACCGGCACAGCTTTTGCACACAGGCGCCCGTGCGTACCCTGCGACCATCGCCGACACTACAATTACCTGTACTACTTGGATCATACTCGTTTGGAGCCTGCCGCCGGCACCTGGATGAACGCTGCTGCTGCTCATGCTGGGTTGGGTGGTGGTGGTTGGCCAAACCACCACCACCCGCCCGTGCCGTCGCTCCAGCTGCCATCCCTGTTGATCTAAAGCACGCGTGCCGGCAGCTTGTTCCATCAATGCCAAACATAACGGATGTTTCTCATAATACGGTAGTGCATAGGGCCTTGACTTTACGTGCCTTTGTCTATTTGTCACCTGCGATCACCCGATCCTGCGAGCCGTTCCGGGACGCCCAGCCCCGCCAGACCTGTCAACTTTCACCTATAGTCTTTTGGAAGGCATCCGATACACAGCAGGGTCGGGTACCGTGAGCCGCCGCGACCAACCGGCCTTTCTCCGTCGCTATGACGCGCCAACAGGTAGCGGGTCCTCAAACATGATCTTAAATCCATGATTTCCCGCGCTCCTAAGCCTCTGGGGCTCCGATCGGCGGCAATCGGCCAGCGTCACAGCACTCTCTCGTCGCGCCCCAGCGTCGCGCCCATGTTGTTATGCGGTACGCCTTGTGCCCGACTTGCAAATGCCCTCACCTGTGCCTCCCTGAGCTCAGGATGACGCCTGTAACGGCGCCGCGCCCTCGCCTGGCGCCGCCGCCACCTATACGGGACCCTCGGCGCCCCCACACGGCCGCGCGGCGCTGGACTCGCCCTTTTGGAGGGACGACATCCACAAGATGGCCTACCTTAAGGTGCGCCACGGCGGCGTGCCGGGATCGCGGCAGGGCCGACAGACCAAGCGTGCTGACCTGGCGCAGGGCGCCCCCTGCGCAAATCCGCTCGCGGGCGGCGCCGCGGCTTCGCAAAGCGCAGGCGCAGGGGGCTTTAAACATGACGCCTGGGCGGGCCCCTTAGTCGGCGTCATACGAGAGGCGTCATACGAGGCGTCATACGAGAAGCGCAGCGGCGCTTGATCGCCGACATCGAGCCCCGCCGCCGGCCCTCTGCCCTGCACCGCCGCGCGCAGGTCCTGCCGTGCGCGTCCCACACGCCCCACTGTTGGTGAGCTGTGACGATGTGGGCTCGCCCCAGCCTGGGCCAGCCACCCGCCGGCACGCAACCCGCGGCAGGCACCTCCCTCGCAACCCCTGCCCCTAGTGCGGCGCCGCCGGCAGGCGTGGCCCACTTGTTTTCATACTTTCAAGCCCCCCAAATCACACATGCAAATACGGTACCCATTCGCCTCGAGCCCTTCCCGTGCTGCCCCTCCCCGCCCGCCCGCTGCCCCCCTGCCGCTATCAAAACACTCCATTGAAGCTGACCTCATCACACGGCCTTCAAACCCTTTGCCCGTCCGCCTGCCCGCGCCGCGCAGGGCCGATTGCCCCTTCGCCCACTGTGGGGATAGGGTGCGCCGGCGCCCCCTCGACCGCTTCCCATACAGCTGGGAGATGTGCGGCCACGCGCGCCAGGGCCGCCCCTGCCCCCGGGGCGCCGCATGCCCGCTGGTGCGTTTGCAGGCTGCCGGCGGGTTGCCGGGCGGTCGAGCGAGGGGCCCCTCGGTCTGAGCCGCCGCCCTCTGAGCTCTGCAGCTGGGCGGCACCTTGCGCCACAGCGCCTGATGCAGCAGTGCCTTCCAAGGGGTGCCGTTGGATTATGATACATTCGTTGTTATCAGCATCAAGTCTCGTGGCAGCAGTCGCTTTGCAGATTTCCTGGGTGTAGCCGCAGCAGCAGCAGCAGCAGCAGCACCTGTGCTCACGGCTCGCCCGCTCGCGCCCGCAGGCGCACAACGTGTTCGAGTCCTACCTCCACCCGGACAAATGTGAGGCCTCGGGGGGAGTATGCCCCCCTCCCCCCCCCGTGTACCCTTTTCCCCCGCCTTCCGGCAGCGGCACATGCGGATTGAGCATTACGGCTGGGCCCTACAGGCCCTTTGCCCCCTCCCTCAGCCCAGCACCTGAGAAGCATCGCCACACATGGCCGAGCGGCGGGCCGGGGCGCCGCACACGTCGCCGCGATGTCCTTCAGCAGTGCGCCGCACCCTCTCTGCGCTGCAAGCACGAAAACCACACGCCCCGCCCCCAGCTCCGCTGCTGGCTGTGAAGTGACGCGCTCTTCAACACAAACGCCCCTCCCCTTCCCCCGGACGAGCGCAGTCAAGACGGCCCTCTGCAGCGACGGCGCCGCCTGCACGCGCAAGCTCTGCTTCTTCGCCCACAGCGCCAGCGAGCTCAGGACTCCCAGCCTCGCGGCCGCGGCCGCGGTCGCGGCCGCGGCGGCTGCGGCCAACGAGAGCGCCGGCTGGTTCCCGCCGGCCCCAACGGCTGCTGCTGGGTGGGCTGGCTCAGGGCCGCACGTGCAGGCGCGATTGACCTCCCCAGAGCAGCAGCAGCAGCAGCTGCTGCCGCTGTCTGGCCAGGGCGATGGGTGGGCCGCCCCCAACCACTTTGAGCCGCACTTACTCGTGCAGCCCTCTGCGCCCCTGCCCTTGCCGCCGCCACCAGCCCTGACGTGCATCCGGCCGCAAGGCAGCACACCGCCATGCCCGGCTGCTGCGCTCGCCCCCATCATCGTCGCCTGCAATGACATCAATGGCGGCGCCTTCTCGCCGCCGCCTGCGGTAACACACCCCTGCTGGCCGGCAGGCCCGACCACGACCCGGCCGCCGCTGCTCCTGATGCGGCCGCAGCAAGACCGGGCCGCGGCCTGGGGGGCGGCGCAGGAGGCGTTGACCATCCACGAGCCAGACCAACTTGCCCCTGGAAGCGTCAGCGTCACGACGACGGTCGTCGTAGCCGGCGGCGGCGGCAGCAGCCCCATCGCCAACATCCTTATCACATGCTCAGGGCCTCAGCACATGCCGTTGGCGCCGCAGCAGCAGCGGCACCCGGCGCCGGCCGGAGGCGCGCCTGCAATATGGCTAGTCCGGCGGGACGCGCCGCTCCTCATCGCCGAAGGCCCCGCC